TACTATTTCTTTGAATATGTATAGCAATATAATAGAAGTTTTTAAACGACATGGAATAATTAGTATTCATAGCGTAGTTAAATTTTCAAATTAACCACATTTATACATCTATAACGATATAATAATACAATTTAAATAAAATATTAACATTTCACTTAAATTTTTTTTAATTCATCATTGTTAACGTGTTAGAAAATAATAAATCGCTTTTAAATATGTCACTACATTAGATTAATTAAATTTGAATTCCATAATAAATCATTAGATACGGAAAACAGATTTGAATCCTGAGCAAAGACAGTTATTTATCAGTTTACTTCTTATAATATCGACGCACTCCAGATCTTTATGGACAGGTATACGTGGTATAATTAGCTTAATAATATTAATATTTCAATATAGCAAACAATAATTTACTCACTGGTGAAAGTTTTAGGAATGTACGTATAATATTTTACGAATTACAACAAGATTGCTAACATTTTAAAATAATTTTGTAATTAAAAATTTGTTAAATTTATAAATTTTATTATAACCAAGGCCTAAAAATGTAGTAGGACTTTCTTTCTAAATTTTCCTTACAGAAACCTAACAAATTCAAAAATGTGTATGCGCAATTTCTTATAAAATTTTAAAATAAAAATATTGACGAAATTGAGTATTTAATCAAAAATAACAATTTTAGTGATTTTGAGGTACTAAAGTACACTCATAAATAAGTATAAGAACTTGAAATTATGTACATATTATTTTTATACACCGTTAACTTTTCAAAATAATTAGATTAAATCATAAACATGTATACTACAAATATATTATAGGTACATCACTCCGTCCAACATTGTTATTGGCATAAGTTAATGTATGAAGTAGTCGTATTAGATTAATTTATAATTTATACATAAGAGTATAAAACGTAGATGGGTAACTTATATTTATACTAATTTTTTTTTTTTTAATTTTTAGTCAAGATAATATTTAAAATTTAAGTTGAGTTGACAGTTAACGAACATGAATATAACAATATTACTAAGTATAGTACGTTGTAAACCCATACATTTTTAGTGTGTTAGGTAATGTTAAAAAATTAATTATTATTAAATTAAATTGCTTTTCTTAAATCGTTTTATTATTCATTTGTTTACTTGAATTTTAATAATAACACCATACACTGTTACTTAAATAAACTTTAATTATATTGTGCGCTTGTTCCTTAATAAAATATATGTAAGTATACTAACAAAAGGACAAATAAGTCGTTTTGACATAGCATTAAATTATAAGTAATAAGGAACTAATCAATAAAGGATGCAAGTTCATGTACTTATATCTAATAAAATAAACATTCAAGTTGAAAATATAGATTGAAATGCTTTATAAATTGAAAATAACTTGTATTAGTTTGTACTGTTTGTAGTATTATTTTAAAAGACATTGAATATTAAAAGGGTACTTTTTATTTTATTTTTAGTTTAAAGTTATATTTTTTTTATTCCATTGCCCAAGTAAATTGACTTATCCGTTTTTTTTCTACATAATAAAAAAAATTCTGTTAAAACGATACATTTTCAGATAAGTAGGTAACATAAGTTTTACTCGTTATATTTATATTTCATACCAAATCTACCAAAAATTTAGGTATACATGTTGATAAACCTTAATGAATTTTAGACTTCAAAATACCATATAATAATAACACAATGAAATATTATTTGAGTATAAATGATTCATATAACTAAATTTTACGAAATATAATATTATTTCAAATGTATTAATTTGATGTGTTGATAGAAATATTTATGGTATAAGAGTATTCAGTAAAAGCTTAATAATAAGCCAATAATTATGTATGATATAATATTGTACATTTAAAAAAAAAAAAATACACGTTGTCTTGAATATTAACTAAGTTGGTAATAAAATAATTAATAAACAATCATATGTTTACATGTCTATAATATTAGGGTGATATAAGATTGCGAATGGAACGATTGCGAAAGGACCTTTTCGCGTAGTCAATTACAAGTTTTTAAACAATAATTTTTAAAATAATCCAATAATACAAGGGTTTTTGCTATTACGCCGGGTAATTGGAATACAAGATAGGTAGGTACGATGTAGAATAGATTCAAATATATTATTTATCTATAATACTATATCTATATTAATTCGACGGAAAACCAGCTCTATCGTATAGTATCGTATTTGTTTCAGTTTATAACGTATTATATATTATACAGTAAAACTTGTCTTATACGGACTCTTGATAAAACAAAACCCGTCTAACGTAAAATGGAAAGCTTTTTTTGGTTCCTTAAGTAGTCATATATACCTTTAAAAAACGGAAAAACATTTCATGAAATGAACAAAAATATTTTTGATACCCAACTCCATTTTGTTATTAAACAATTATTAAGATTAACAATATTAATACGTGTCGATAGATAACTACATTTTATCTTGAATTTATGTCATCAGTGCTCATTATTATCACGCCGTATAGTCGTAGTTTTCCTGTTTTTCGTCTCGTCTTACTTGTTATCACAGTGTCTTTAAAGATCTGTTTAAGTTTAAATAAAAAAAATGAAAGTTATTGAAGAATGTTGTTAATTGTTAAAGAAAAAACTGGACAAAAACTTTACACGAATTTTTGAATTTTTGGTTGTATTTTAATCTGCTAACTTAATTTTATTAAATTATTATTTGATCAATAGGTACCTACTAAATATTATGTTCTTCAAATTTTGGAATTGAAAATTATCATTACTTTGAAATATCTAATTAATACATATTATGTAATTATTTACTAAAAATTAAAATTTATTATAGCTTATGATATTTATTAATTTTCAACATTTTAATTTTTTAAATTGGACAAAAAATGTTATAACCTTAAATCTTTATCATGCAAAATATTGTAATATTGTAACTTTATAGTATGGAATTTTGCTTTTTATTCAGTTGCATGGAAACCTGCTTAAAACGGAAATTTTTATTAGTCCCGCGGAATTCCGCACAGGATAAGTTTTACTGTAACAATATTATTAATATTTATATGCCAAAAACTTTTTTAATTAATCAGTATTTTAAACATTAAGTATTATTTTGTATAATTTTATTTTAGTTTGTAATGTAGTTATAATGTAACATTCATAGGCGTTGTTAGGGGGAACTTAGAGGGAGCTTAGCCCCCTTCCCCCCAAATGCAAATGCAAACCTTCACAAATCGATACATGCCCTCCAAACAATTTTACAATCCTACGCCTATGCTAACATTGTATTATAAATATCGAATAGTTTTTATTTAAAAAAAAATATTTTAATTGAATTCCTGAACGAAATATATTAGGAAATTATAAACTTGGCAACGTAGTCTGTAAAAATGTTCACAATCGTTCGTTTTTCGGGTAAAAAAAAAACAAATTCTTTGATAAGCGACATTCGCTTGCAATCGTGTTAAAAAAAGGTAAAATGTTTGCAATCGTGTTACACCCAAAATACTTATGCTATTAATTTACGATAAAATTAATGGATAAAATAAAATTATAGAGAAGTTAAGGTAAGTACCAACTGTTAAAAAATATAATGCTATTATATAATAGGTACTTTACTGAAGGTAGTTAATAATTTTTTAATTTTAAATTATTAAATGTCATTTATGTTTTAAAAGCATTTGAGGTTTGAATGGGTAATGGGTATTATAAATTAGATGTATAATTTAATTTAATTTTCAAAATTAAATTCACTACTTTCTGGAGACTTAAATTTCTACATAATTATTATTCACAACTTGGTGAATATTAATTTACCATTTAAATTTTACAACAAATTACTCAACATTAATATAATATATTATTTTAATATTACAATAATTATTACAAAATTGATACAATTTCATAATTTTAATATCTTGTTAAGACTTAAATCAACAAATTTCTATAGTTATAATTATGTAAAACAAATAGTAATACTTAATTAAAATTTATTTTTATTATTGTTAAAAGTAAATATATAATACTAATAGGTGGTAAAAAATAATTTAATTAAGTCACTCAATATTTTTTAAACTTTAAATTAACATACTTTAAATAAAATTTTATGAATATTAAATATGTGAATAAGTATATAAATTAATTAATTGATGAATATTACAAAGTTTGAATAGGCTTTTTTTTTATAACACAATTGTCCGCTATATAATTACATAATCGATCTTATCATCTAAAAACATAATTAATTTAAAAATATTTGTGTGAAAACATAACAGAAATGTATGTACATAATATATTAATTACCTATGTTTTTTTCATTAGAAATATTTTTAAAAAGGAAAAATTATAATTATTATCACATTAAATACAATATTATCTCAGTTATTAACTATTTCATAAATATTTATAATTTCAATAGCAATAAATATTTTACAATGGACAAATATGTATATATTTAAAAATGAAAAACTGACAGAAATAGTGATTTTTAGTCTTTTAAAACAAAAACTTAAAGGAGTGTTGAACACAAATTATTTTGGCGTGATATTTTAGTTAAATTAATTTCATTTTAGTATTTTAACAATAAAAAATAAGATTTTTTTATTAAGTTAAAAAATTTTGTTTTAACTGATATTCATATAAGTACAGATTAGCTAGTTCAAATTCAGTCATTGTGTTATAAACTCCGCACAACCCATTTATTTTAAAAGAAACAACAATACAAAATAAATAAAACACAGCCTATGATTATGTACAAATCTTTAAATGACAAAACATAATATTTAGTATAATTATTTTCTTACGCATTATATTTAGTTAACAAAATATAAAAATAATTGATAAAGCAACCAGAACACTATAAACAATTTACACAATAGGTAATTTAATAAGAAAAAAACATTCAAGTAATACAATTATTTATTATTTAAATGTAAAATTTGAAAAATCAATAAGTATTTATAATATAAAAATTTTTAATACAGTAACACAAAAAAATTATTCAAGCTAATTTTAAAAGATCAAAATATTCAACAAGTTTTTTACCTAATAAAAATTGTAATTACATTTTTTATAAACTTAATGATTGAATAAGTATTCAGTAGATAAGTAAAAACTTTTGCATGGCACAAGATTATTGTGTAAGTTCTTGTATCAATAGAGTTATGTTTGACATAATCACATTTCTAAAAGCCATATGCACAATTCATCTATCTAACTATAAGAGTGAATTGTGATAAGATTTATTAGACCATTGTGACCCGTGGCACTCTGTGGTTTTGAGTATCACTGAGTAAAGTCTCATGGAATTAAATCCCTAACCAAGCATTAAAGCTTCATTTAATTCCCAAAGCATTTTCCTAAACTATCTGCTATCTCTAGCTTTGCGTACTCTGACCAAAGGCTAACTAGAAGCAGGTCCGGTTGTGTCATGTTTTATACATTAAGTTTATACATTTTGGTCAGTATATATTTACATAGTAGGTTTTTTTATTGGTATATTTTGTTATTTAAATAAATTGCACATATCCTACAAAGACCAAAATCCAACGCTTGGTGGCACAAACTTAATCAATCATTTTATTAAGAATCATAAGAATCACTTATATTATGATAATACCCTTTTGAAATGCAGTTCACACATAACCCTGAAACTTTGTCAACTTATACCATGTCTTAAGGTCTCAAATACACTTGTAGAAATAATTAGTTTTATCTACAAAATATATTTTTGACACTTAGTTCATAATAAACATAGTCAAATAAAAATTAAATGTTTACGTTCCGTCATTGGATGGTGTAGAAAGTTCACGTTCAGTAACTCCAATCCTTAATAATTCTTTCAACATAGGAAGTGGTCTTTTAGGCCATGTCTTTTTTGACTTAAGCTCACGTGCCTCATTGTGTATTTTTTCCATTTCTCTAATCATTGGATAAATTCTTTGTTCTATCCATTCGGATATGGTGTATTTATCAAATATCCCAGTCATCGATTCCTGAAAAGGTCTAACCAAAGATAAAAGCGATCTATAAATACGAGAATGATCATTCATTAGTTCGTCGACACGAAGCGGAGATGAAAATTCATGTTCTACGTTGTAACTAGTCATCCATCCACGATTCTTTTTGGTCACCAATATAAATTCATTGTAGTCCAATTCAATGTTGTGTAGTCTATATAGCAACCTAAAAGTTAAAATTACAAACTTTAACATTTATTATTTACGAGATTTACTAGGTTATTTAATGAACTAAACAGGTGATATTTATTATTACCGAAAAAATGTATTCCCGGGAAATGTGCATCTCGAGAACTGTTCCCAAAGATGAGGATCATTATTTAAGTTCAAAAAATCTCCGTCATATTCGTTGTTGTGGCCAAAAATACCACAATTAAGTCCTTCGTTCAAATCGGTTTGCAGCGACTGATTCATGTAGCCATTTGTAGTTGCCAAAAGATTAACGACCATCGATGGTATGGATGACGGTAATACCTCGCATAGAACAGCAAAATGATCATACCTGTTAAGTTAAAAAATCAAATAAGAATTATGAAACTATGAAAATGTATAATATAACAGGTCACTAAAAAAAAAAAGTTTCCTTCGATTAATTAATAAAATTATACATATTACAAATAATATACCTCTGCCAACCAGTGATGACAATTCCTTTAAAACCACCTGTAAACCGACTATTTTCGTTGGACATCAATTGTAACCAATTTAAATTGTTTTCCAAATGTCTCTTAACGTTTGGAACGTATAAAGTTTCACCGAATGCCCCTTTGAAAGCGCTAGCAGTCCACACATTCGGGAATACAATTTGATATTTTTCCCAAACATTCTGCATAACAAATCTATACACATCCTCGGCGTACACCCACACCTGAATATTACATTTAATTAAAATGTATTGAATAATGTTCAATTAATGTGATTTTAAAAAATAAAGATCCAAAACTGCTTACCATTGGTTCCACTAATTTTCCAATATCGTATAACTGCATTGTGGCTAAGGGCAAATGTCTCAACATGTCATCCCATATAATTGGAATTGTATTTGGAGATTTAGTGCGTACATATGTGGCCACTTGCTTGACATGCGATAAGAATAAATCTTCTCTGGCTTTCGACCTGCACCTGAAACATTCTCCCATGTGGAACACTTCGTCACAGCCAATATGTAAGTAGTTAACATTCCCATGAATCTCGAGGATCTAAAAAATCGAATAAATTTGTGTTAGGTTTTAACACAATAATCTAGAATGAATGCAATTATTAATAAAAATATTACTTGGTCAACCATTTGTTCGACAAACTTCATAGAAGCGTTAAACGATGGACAGAGTGCTTGTGGTGACTCTTGGACTTCTCTTAAATGTGCAAAATCATGTAGTTTCAATGCAAATTCCACGTGACCGAACGTTTGTATTAGCGGGATTACTTCCAATCCATTAATCGCGGCCATTTTCAATATTTCTCTAATATCTGCTTTGGAATACGCGTTACTGGCTGCTATCGGGGACAGATTTCCACTCCAAGGAAACATGTCTTCCCATTCAAGCAAAAGACCTGTCCCACCGAATCTTTTTATCAACGGGAAAAGTTGTTGAAGGTAAAGCAACTTGGGCGGCGCTCCTTTGAAATCGATGTGTACTAGTCGTTGGGGAGGCACGTAAGGTAGTGATTGTTGTAGTTCGGAATTGATCTGAATACGTCGGCTTTTACGAGCCGGCTGCTGCAGTTCTTCAATGAAATTGACGTCTTCTTCATTTTTCATTTTTCTAACTGTACCCGAAATTGGCGCAGGTGATTGGTATTTATTTGAAGGTTGTTCATCACCATCAAACTCAGACATCACTATAGTGTTTTGAATGCTTTGAATACCTATATCATTTGATGTATTGTACTGTATACACACTACAAAAAGAAGTATGCTGAGTATGAGTCCAAATAATATTGATCTTCGTCGACGTAATGAGTTAGTAAACCACCCGGCATATGAAGTTATTGTATTCTTCCATAATGTTCTGAAACATTAATTAAATAATTAAATAGTGAAACATTTAAAATATTTTTTTTTAAGTTAATAGACTATTCGTATTTGGCTATGTTATTAAATTCAACCAACGAAGATAATATAATTCAGAAATAAAAATTTAATGAGAAATTTAAATTAGGTATTTATATTAATACGAATAATATACCAGACAGACGTTATAATGATATATTTTGAGTTTAACCCAAGTTATTATGTCCCATACTGAAGTTATCAGTTCTATATTACTATTAATAGATTAACGATATTGCTTATTTGGATAAAAAACTGTTCAGCACATATTATTAAGTTTAATGAATGGATTAAGTTTACGGGCATAAATATTAGGTATTCTAACAAACACGGAGAAAAAATAAATGAAATATGCGAGATTTTTCACAACACATACTTCAATGTAGTAAATTCTACTTGTAATTTCTTATCTCACTATATAATAAATTGGCTGAATCATATCTGTCGTAGAAATATTAACGCAAGGTGAAAAGGGAGAGTAGTAAGTTACATTATGGGGCCCATCGTTAGCCAAAAAAACAATGTAGGTCCAATTGTTTTACAATATAGGAATAGATACTATATATCATACTTGTACAATTTCTAATTTCCATATTAAGTACTAGAATAAGGGCAAGAAAAAAAATTGTATATAATTGTTTATGTACCTACATTATTATTTTTAATATAGCACAATCATATACGAATAGAAGTTGACAAAATTCAACTAAGCCACTGTGATGTACACGAATTTTCACACGCCTACTTATTTACTGGTTTTATAACGTCACCTATGAAATAACGGTTAGATGAAAACCAGACAATTATACTGTAATATTACCACGTAAATAAAATAAATATAAACTCGTTGACACCAATACATTACGTTATACACGCATACATATATTTCATATGGAGGAAAGGTATTTTTTTTTTTATTACTATCGTAGACACATCGCCCACATCAACAATCATTATCAGTTTTTGAAAATTAGAAATTATTACACGGAGAACGTATATTATATTATGTTTTACATTATGAACAGATACAAAAGAAAAGGGCAGGGAAAAATACTTGGAGTAGGTACATTAGTATACGACGTCTAGATAAAAATATCATTACATTAGATTGTACTATTTTAATAATTTAAGAATTGTTTTATATTGTCTAGATCTAATGCCTATGATTCGACTTGAAGGATAAAGAGACGAAACATGCCGAAATCTAATTTACCGACACTTTCAAGTTGTTGGGATGATCAACCTACATTAGACATAAGAATAATATTATTAACGCCCCCGTTTATCGCGTTACCGCAATGTTAATAGGAGTTCGCCAAGTAAGTGGAACTGAATACATTACATTTGAACTACTTCTGCAGTAATGTATTCGTAAAACATTCTACCATTTCAATAACAATTAGCAAAGTTTGGGTTCATCCTTTTGCGGACGATTCCGTCGGCCACGCAATGCGAATAATTAGTACTTACGCACGCGATTTCCAGTCAAGTATTACCACCCATTATAATATCGATATTATTATTATTATTATTATTATTATTATTATTATTATTATAACAATCTAAACGCAAAGACAATAATGATTAAAGTTTTGAAGCATTTCTTCGATTTTTTTTTTTGTTTTTGTTTTTTAACGTAGCTACTACAATAATAAATGTGTTTTAGTCACTCAGTATTACTACTAATGAAAATTATACCTATTCTTTTGACAATTTTTTCATTCAAATTCTTCGAGTGCGGCTGTTTTCATATTCGAACAAATAACTATTGCATTATTACTAAAAATTGAAGTTAGAAAACCCAACTAACATATTATATTATAATTATTGAATCGTTAATGTTTTAAATGTTTTTTTTTTTTTTAATTTTTAAGTAATTTATCCAACGTTTTTTTGAAAGTCATTCCGATCAATGCGTGTGTGATGTACTCATGTTTATTACAGATCAATAAAGAAAATACTTATATATAACTAATAATGTACCATCTAGTCAAAAGCAAAGCCACCGGGAGGTCTTTTCATTGTGTGTATAATATGGACCATTCGAAAGGAATTCAACAATAATATTGTCATAATGGATTTTTATTATTTTTTTTATCTTATTATTACTATTATTATTTTGTTTGCAGACGCAAAAGTACAAAGATTGGAGAATTAAATAAATAAATAAACAGTTCATAGAATAATGTCCGAAATAAATAGATACATACGACAACAAACACTACTATACACTATTAGAACGCTGACGTCCTATGATGGCGGACGTATTGCTATTATAATGTATAATATCAAATTATTATCGTATGTTTAATTGACCGTGTAATTCAACGACGCGATAAAGGGATAACAACGAAATTGGAATAAATAAACAAACCTATTATCCAGGCGGCCAATGCTATTACGGGTAAATAAGTATCTACCAGGTAATTTATGACTATAATAAATCCTATAAGTTATAATGGAAAAAAAATTGACGCCATCAAATCGAAAGGAAACAAAGTCACTGCAAACACACTTTGACATACACACACACACACACACACACATTCATTCGATCACTCACGAACACGCGCACTACACACACGTATTGAACATTGTGACACGCCCGTTGGGTATATCTGTAAAGTCAAATCGGTGACACTTTTCGATTTCACCACGCTCCAAAAACTGTTATAATAATATTGATGTGTACCCCGCGTCGTTCGTATCCAATAACGATTTGTTACGAAAAATTACACTGTCTCGACATCGGCCGGTTCAGAAAAATAGGTTTTAATTCTTCCCAATGCCCGTAACTCGGTATGAAGGTAACCAAAGTAAATATCGCTACCTTCTATACTAATATGTGGATACAAATACTTCACAAAATGTAGGTACAACAGGTACATAGTTCCACTGAAGTATGTCTTATTGTCCTGTACACACTGATTGGCCGACTACAATGAGTAGTAATTAAAAAAATGTCAACTGTAGATTAAAAATTAATTAATGTTTTTTTTTTTTTTTTTTTTTTTAATTGTCGTTTTAATTTTGCATTCAACAGAATCCATTTTATACTATTATAGCTTTAATACTATAGTAAATTGCTCTATTATTTAACTTAAAATTAAGTATTTTATCAAAGCTATATCATAGGCATTTAATAATATTATAATTTTAAAGTGAGCTATGAGTATTTTAACGTTGATATAATTCACTTTAAAATAATAACATCAATAAAAGCCAATGAGATGGCCTAGATAATAGTCTCAGCTTAAAGTTTAACGATAAGTAAATTTATTTTAATATTAAAGCTAACAACATAAAATTAATTCTGCTGAACGTAAATTTGCTATGTCGTATGCAGGGCTTGAAATCATTATAGTGACGTTATGATTACAACGTTATATTTAACAAAAAACGATTGAGATTTGTAAACATAATTATAACGGAAAACAATAAGCAAAAATAATTAAATAACACAAATAAAACATAACGATTAACAAAATATATGATATACCATAAAGCAAAACGTTATATATTGTATACCATTGAAAGAAATAATTAATTTCCAATTATTTAATAGCTATAATTTATAAAATATATTAAAAATTTTAATTACGGTAAACGCAAATATTCGTATAACGTTTTAATTGTAAATAACGTAAAACAAAATTGTTTTTTTCAAATGTAAGCCCTGGTTGTACGTAAATAAGAAGAAGACGTCACGTGTGGGAGTGGCGTCCTCTTAGCGTATAATTTTTATAGGAAGTGTGTTTAAACAAGAGGAAAAAAGTATCGCTGCTTGTATACTACGGAAAAATAGTAACACAACTGTAGAACAAGTATGTACAGTTATGTACACAAAAATAGCATTGGACGGGTTTATAAAAAAATAAAGTGTGGACGCGATAATGGGCCTGTTTTTAACGATAGTTTACGAAAACTATGACGCAGTGGCGCTGAGATGGAAATCATCGTAAAATAAAACGCTATTACTTCTCGTATGATGTGAATATCTGATTTCAGATGTTTCAAAATTAGTTTTTCTCAGTATGATATTTACAGTACGTTTACGATGCTTCTAAATCGAACTAATCCAACGATACATTTTTCACCACGACCATTAACAGACATGTATTCTGGCATCAAAAAAAAAAAAAAAATAAAAAATTACAAATGAAACACAACTGGCGATATATGTAATGGACTATTATAATTTAAAAAAAAAAAAAACTATTTACAAATGTTTCATAAACAACATTAATAAGCGACGCTCGATACATGGAACGTGTTTTTATTGAAAACAAAAAAAATCCAATTCTTGTCGAATAAAATAATACAAAATTATTGAATATAATAATAACATGCTTCAATAAAAATGAACAACAGACAATTTTTTAATTTTATAAAACATAATTTTTAAACAGTAATGGAAATTGTTCGATTGATTGTTAAGCAAAAAAAAAAAAAACTTTGCTTGGTATTGTTTTAGTCAGAATTCATGGTATAGTGCATTTTAGCCACATGAACCGTTTATACTTCATTGTACGATGAATCCTGAAACGGTATGTGAACGCAGTAATCGCTTAATAAGACGAATCAACCATTGCTCAATCATTGCTGGTTAAATTTTAATCGACACAAATAATAAGGAAATAAAACTCAAACTGATGAATGTATTCATTTTTATGTGATTAAGTTAAATACAGTAATTTTGCCCGGACGGCCATGAGCAATAAGTAATAACCATCTTAACATTCTGATGTTTACAAAATAATTTTAAAACGTGTTTATAGTTATTTAGAGGATAGATTTTGATGATTTGAATAAAAATCACGGCGTTTTTTTTTTTTTTAAATATCGTTTTTTATTTCATATTTAAAATTAGATCTTCTATAGTGCATAAAACCGTGTGTAAAGTCTCGTGAAACATTTAATTTAGTATAGACATCAGGTGAGCTGTATAATTCTTTTATA